GATTTGATCGAAAAACGCAAATATGTTTTGTGGATCCTTGTTCAAACCCAAGTTCTACAAGAAATGGTTTAAAACTTTCTTTAATCTTGTTTATACAAATGATTTTTTGAAGTATTTCCGTGTTATTGTTCTAAGATCTTTTGTTGCATGTGAATGCAGCAAACATTCAATCAAACTGATCAAGATCAAGATCGAGCTCGGTTCCATGAGGAAGAAGAAGAATGCAATGGTTTAATAAAATCATCTTTGTGTGCAGCTTGTTGAGAAACATGTATGGCGAAAGCCTTCGCGGGAAGTTAGGGTTCAGAAGTTGCAAGAGATTGCTCAAGAATCTGAGATCATATGGGATTCTATATCTTTGGATTACGGATTCTCTAATTCATACATGAAACAAGAAGCTCGAAACGATGATAATGTGGAAGAGGAGAACAAAGAGAACACGAAGAGTATTGATCAAGAAAACTTTGAGCAGGTTACTTGGTACGCAAGGTAGTGCAGGTCTCACAAGCACAAGGCATAACGAAACGAAGTGTCTTTAACAAAAGATAACAAGGAAACGTCGTCGTATCGGAGACCGAAGTTTCTGGATTACGATGAAGTGGTGGATCATCTTGCAGCTCTTCGTGAGAGATAAGAGAGAAGTGATTAGTAAATTAAGGCATCTCTTCGTAATTAAGTTTATATTGGTAATTTAAATTTACTAATCACAAAAGTGGAAAGTAACTTAGCAAATAGAGAAAGAGAAAGGGTTGGTCTTTTTTATACATTTTTAATACTCCTTTATATAATAAGATGTTTTGGAATGGATTACATAGTAGAAAAGATAGAATACGAAGAGAAATAATTATTTACGCACCAATAATGTAATAAAAACGAATTTCTTTGATGACATATAGCTAGGTGATACCAAAAAAATATTGTTGTTTCAAATCTTAAGAAAAATAACAAATGGTTTTCCACACAAAAATGGTAAACAAATTTCTAATATTTTTGACGATAACACATAATAATTCTCACAGCTTATATAGTTTTTTTTTTGGAAGAGTTTGCTTTGGTGAAGTAATTTTTTAACATAAGTCACAATAAAATACTTTTTCTTTGACCGTCGAATTGAATCTTAGGAGATTATTTTGTCTAGTTACATTTTTATGCAGAAAAAGAAAGGTTAGAGATAAGAACGACGTCGTATCACAGAAGGGGCTTGGAAGTTTACAGCTAAAGTGCTTGTGAACTGAGTTGTTCTACATGATTAACTAAACTTGTTACCTAAGTTTAAAGACTTTATTATATTAAAAAAATAAGCAGAGACAAATTATAAGTATCAGTAAAACAAATTGTGAGGCAGAGACAAAGTAAGCACGCACCTAGCCAAGTCAGTCACTTTTTCTAAAGTTTTATCAGATAACATCGACAATTTGTACTGATACTACTGTCTCCCAACTATGAACTTAAAAGCTACTGAAAAATCCCACCAAATCGCGCGCCAATTCTTCGAAAAGTATAAAAAGTGGGTTCAGATTTAGGAGATTTCCACAAGTAAAAATTTCGTTGCTCGGTGTTTTGGAATTTATAACAATTCAGAAAGAAAAACAAATTGAAATTCGAATATAAACACTTGAAACGTATTCTGATCCGAATCACACATCATCTCTCTCTCAACATACTTACCGCCCAATACTTTAGCGTCTTTTTATGCCATAATCTGCATATGAAAAATCTTCATACGTGGACTTTGTGGTGAAATCCATTAGGAAACAGAGGTCTCATTGGCCTATCTACGTGGACTTAGCGCCTGATACTTTTTTTAACCCAAAAACTATTTTAAAGTATCATAAATTGTTTGAGTAATCATAAAAGCAGCCAAGATATACGGATCCTCCTTCCTATCTCACAAGAGAACACTTGCCAAAATCTGCATATGAAAACCATTTAGATAGAAAATATACTTCCACACAGATATACACGGAAGTGATGATGATGAACAATCTTCATACATTAACTTTGTGGCGAAAGCTGGTAGGAAACATAGGTCTAATTGGCCTATCAATGAGTCTCCCCTTTAAGATTTCCCGTATACGCATTTGGAAGCTGGCCTTGTGCGAATAGCTCCTCTTCATAATAAACCTGTCATCATTATATAGCAAGTTTCCAAAATCGATTTAACCAAACAAGGCAATCAATAAACGCAATCAACCTGTCATTTATACCAACTATCCAGAATATATTCTTATTTTACCCTTGTGCGATTTCGTGTTCTTTTTGCTTGAGATTGATAGCCAAAAGTAGTTGAATAGTGGCTGAATTTTTTAAATTGGTAGATTATAATTTTTTTTTTTGAATTGTAATGGTTGAAAATTGTATCCGTGGAGACCGGAAAAAGCATTTTTCTGAATTTGATGCACACATTTGAATGCTTTTGGTCATCTTACATATTTTGTTCAGAGTTAGTACAAAATCGAATTGTGATCTATGCCTAAAGAATGAGTTTAATTTAAAGTCTAGCATCATACTCTAATGGATAGCTTGTCTAAATCAATTACTTTGCCTATGGTCCATAACTTTCCTCATTGATTTAACGTTGTTTTTCTTACTTATCTTTTTGATTAGTTTGTTTATTTGTTTTATTATTTACTTTCCTTGTTATTTCCTTTCCTTTATTTAAATTAAGGATAATGAAAATGTAATGCTCATCTCTGGAGACAGTGGGGCTCGCGATGATCTTACCAAAATCTAAGATAAACATTACTTTGTTATGTTAGTGTCTCTGATGAAATGATTTCATGTAAATTCAATCATTTTATTAATTAGGCAATGACTTTATTATCTTTACCTTTTGATTTGATCGAAAAACGCAAATATGTTTTGTGGATCCTTGTTCAAACCCAAATTCTACAAGAAATGGTTTAAAACTTTCTTAAATCTTGTTTATACAAATGATTTTTTGAAGTATTTCCGTGTTATTAGTCTAAGATCTTTTGTTTCATGTGGATGCAGCAAACAATCAATCAAGTTGATCAAGATCGAGCTCGGTTCCATGAGAAAGAAGAAGAATGCAATGGTTTACTACTTGAAGAAAGACATTGTAGAGATTCTCAAGATCAGTTATGAAAGGAAGATAAAGCTTATAAAAAAAAAGTAAAGACTCTTCTTTTCTCTATAATATGTATTTTCCTCTGTTTCTCAATCTGTTAACTTGTTACTTGTAGGTAGAAGAATTACTCGAAGAGCTTAGTATATTATATTCTTATGATCTTATTGAGCGATTCTGCGACTTTATCTCCTCGAATCTTTTGTTAATGCTAAAGCAAAGGTAGTTATTACACTATAATCTCTAGATTTGACACACTACTAAGGTCTTAAAACTTTTCTAATTATAATTTTTTTTTCAGAGAATGTCCTGAAGAATGTAGAGAATCTGTTTCATCTCTGATATATGCAGCGGCATGGGTTCGATATGTTCCTACACTTAAAGATCTTAGAGCTTTGTTTACGCGTAGATATGGAAATTCGATTGATTCTTATGTCAATCAAGAGGTTGGTTTTGACTTTTGATTTGTTAATACTATGTTTTCAAATTTTGTGACATTCTTGGTAAGTACTAAAATCTTTGTTTGCAGCTTGTTGAGAAACTTGTATGGCGAAAACCTTCGCGGGAAGTTAGGGTTCAGATATTGCAAGAGATTGCTCAAGAATCTAAGATCATATGCGATTCTATATCTTTGGAATTGTCTAAAGGTG